GGAAAGAGGTTTCCGTAGATCTCATGAATGATACATAAAGGGAAGCCCCTTCGGAAGTAAAACATTTCCCTGAATACACTGAGATTTCTACCAGAAAGCCTAGGTAAACAGGGTATAGGAAGAAAAAGGGCTCAACCTTCTGCTGCCACACCAGCCGGGTCACTGTGATGTGACAAAAAGAGCCTGCCGCAGCCACCCTGCCAGAGGACAATGGGACCAGGAGACTGGAGTGCTTTGTAAGAGGAGGTGGTAGCCGGGAAGAAAAATAGATAAAAAGAAGGAGAAAGGCCAGGAAATGTCATGGAGCTAGTGAGATGTGAATGCCGGCATCAGGGCATTTAAATGTCAGGAGAAAAGGAAATCGGCAAGCCAAGGTGGGATGGATTTTAATTAAAGCATTAGAGCTGAAGAGGAAATGAAACCCACTTGCCAAGCAAGCTCCAAAGCCTTTCTGTGCAAAGGACTTGACTTTTGTTTGCTTTACGATGCCTGTGTTATGAGAGAGGGAAGGCAGCGGGGTGCTAGGCTGACATGTTGAGAAATGCCACCTTTGGGAACATCAGCATGCAGATCCATATGTGAGCAGCTGTGTGACACCCGCACCCACCCCTGGGTGTGCACAGCAGGAGCTCCTGAAAGCCAGGCCCAGATGCCAGCAGAAGGTGGTTAATAAACTCCCCTGACTGCTACAGCAAAGGCCTTATCCCCCATTTCCTCGCAGCGCACTTATATCGTGTGTCACTTTTCTTAGAGGCACGAGTACCCACACTGTGCAAGCACCTCCCAGCTCTGTAAGCACATGGGTTGCTTGCACAATTTCCATGCATTTGTGTGAGCAGAGTGTCTCCCCCCCACCCCCATTACAAAAATACATTTGAAATCAATTTAAGAGGTATTCCTGATGAAAGTGCTGCAAGGGACCCTGGTAGTGATGCTAGTCATTCAGGCACTGGTCTGATCTTTGGTGCATATCACAAGTTGCTTTGATTTACAGTGGCTCCATGGGACAGTTTCAGCAGCTGGGTAATCTGCTGGGCATAAGGGAGCCCTGGCCATGCCCCTTCTTTTCCCAGTCAGACCGTCCACATCATTGGCAAAGGGGAGATCAGTGCAGAAGTGGCTCTCCAGCTCTCTATCACCAGAAGAGTCTCCCGCTCAAGAAGGGCTCAATGATAGGTGAACTAGATATTATTAGTACATAGCTGATGTGAGTGCCATGTTATAGGAGACACTCCTGGTCAAGTGATGAAGGCACAGTGTTGAGGTGATGTGAACAAGGACTGAGGGCTCTGCATAACCCATATCCTTAAGGGCATGTCAAAGGTGTGACTACACTACAGTGTGCGTGACCATCAGTTAGCAAGGGAAGGGTACCCACTGCAAGGTAGCTGTGCCAACTCATGCTCCAACCACCTGGGGTCCTGGGTGAATTCAATTGTTCAGCTCTCACTAAGGTCACCCGTGCTACAGGTATACTGCAACAAATACCCACACTGATGCTAGCTCAAGCATGTCTTTATGAGCTGCAGTCCTGCTCCTGGATTGTTCTGTAGGCATTTTGCACAAGCCGAAACTCCCATGCAGGCATTGTGACCGCTTTTCTACTGCTTCACCGCTGAGTGCTGGCTCACAAATGTGCCTGTTTACATTCACGGCCACACTACGCTGTCACCCTTCTCTCGGTCTGCCAGTCTACCAGAAGGATCCAGTCAACTGATACAGCATGAGCACGATTAAAAAATAGAA